AGCTCTATAAATGTAGTGAATGTGAAAAAACCTTTCGCAAATATGCACACCTTAGTGAACACTACAGAATTCACACTGGTGAGAAGCCGTATGAATGCATCAAATGTGGAAAATTCTTCAGACATAGTTCAGTCCTTTTCAGACATCAGAAACTTCACACTGGTGATTAATCCTGGCATTTAGATTATGATGGTTTCTCTAGAAAGAGTACCTAACAATCTGGCTGGGAGGAGAGGGGTACATAGGGAAGATGAGACTTGGCTGCTCTTCTCACATGGAAGTGGGAACTTGGAGGATGCAGAACTTACTCCAGGTGGACATCTTGGAATACTGGGTAAAAAGGAAAAAACAGTTTTTCAGATAAAGCTAGCATATTACCACTCCTCTCTCCATATGACTACACTGAAAGGGCAGACATTTGTTAAGTTAGCACTTGTATTTCCTTTACCATGCTCCACCCAGCCTTCTGACTTTGTCACTTAAGTACAGTGGCTGATGTGGAAGTGACAGCAATTCTGATATAGTTCTGAGGTTTAACTTCCAGATGTTTGAGGCAGCTGTGACCATTCCATGATAGGGAGGATCCCTGATCTGTAGAAGTAGTCCTGTGAGTGGGATACAGAAACAAGTGGGGGGAAAAAAAGAACCTATATTCATTCATTCAACCAAATAACAGGATGTGGCCAAAACTGGGCTGATCTGTACAGATGTTCTGTGGAAGATGACATTCATTGGGGTGAGAAAGATCTTTCTGATGCTTTTAAGCCTGTGGGTGATATGAAGCTAAGAAGAAAATAGGAGACGAAGAGAGTTTGCTATTTTATTGAAAGACAGGTCTGCTCAGGAGAAGGGAAAGGAAAGTCCAACTTCTGTCACAGAAGAATACTAGTTTAGGAGACAAGTGGTCTGTTCTGGACTAATAGTGATAAGAGGCTTCAGAATAGAAAGCCTGAATGTGTCTGAGGAAGCCATATATATATATAACTTTGCTTGGCTTAAGGAGTACATCTCTGTGTTAAAAGTTTGGCTAGGCCACTGGTTCACAGGAACTAGTGTAGAGGGACCCACTATGACTAACAAAAGGGACTTGGGTATTGGCCTTTAGGAGAAAGCTTTAGTGATGAAAGAAGACAGCCTTTTATGCTGGCTGGAGTTTCAGACTCCTGGCTAGTCCTTAATAGAGTGTTGGAATTTGTCAATGAATTTGGAAAGAATTCTAAATCCCTGTAAATCAAAATAACAGTTTATTGCTGAAATTACAGTTTACCCATTATTTCCTCAGTCCCTTTCATGTATTTAACTGCCACCTAGAAATTGAGCTCCATAAGATTAAGGACTTTGAGCCGTATTTGAAATAATTTAGTAAGTTCTGAAGCTTATATTATTTTTAAAATATGAATATAAAAATCACCTAAAGTAAGTTGATTCTGGAATGCTTAGTTATTTGTAACTGCAGATATATCTTCTGTCTTGCAAGCATCAGTGTAACCATTCACAACTGTTAATAGGAATGTGATACAAGTAACACATTTGCTTTTCCCTCTCTAGCTGTGAAGTCTATGTTCTGAAGACCTACAACAGATGAAATCATAATTGAGGAAATTAATACCTTGTCTGCAAAAAAAATTAACCCTATGAAATATTTCTGAATATTTTATGCTCATTAAAATATATATTTTACTGAAAATAAATATCAATGTGTTTACACTTCCTAAATGAAAAATAACACTATAGAAGTAATGCTGGTACATAGTTTATTAAATATGAGGTAGATTATTATATTATATATATTCTTATATCTTAAATTCTGGTGAAAAAGATTTTCTAAAATGGAATGGATATGACCTTGAATATTTAGTCTTTGGACAATTATAGTCTGTACATTTTTATTTCATGGGGAAATAGAAAAAGATTTCATCATCTTTCCACTGCCTTCAGCCCATATTCTCACATTTACACATAAATGCTCCTAATTTTATTTCAGTTGTTGGCCCTTAGATGTGCCTTGTCTTTTCAGTGTGTCCCTAAACCTAAAAATTGCCTTCCCCTTCAACTTTTCTTTTATTCAGTTTTCATATTAATCCAACTCCTGTTGACATTATGTCCTAAATCTAGACGCCATCTCCCTTTAGTCTAGTTCTCCAGGTTATTTTTTAGACTATTTTCAGTTTTTCTAAATAGTCTTTCAATTTCTACCACCACAAAGCCATCTTTCATTTTTCTTCTAGATGATTTTTCTAATCCTAATTGCATGCCTTATTAATTTCTCTTAGAATAAAGTCCTAGCCCTCTAAAGAAACATCTGAGGCTGCTCATTCATCCCATGACTACGTCTCCATCCTCAGCTGCCATTTGTTGTCCAGTACATTCTGCTTGATGGTGCAGATTTCTTTAGTTCTGCAGCATTGCCACTGTAATCTGGTACATTTTTGCATATAATATTTCTGTTGCCTCCCTTTCTTGCTTTGGCTTTCCTGGAGAGTTTGTATGCATTATTCATCAATGTGCTCAAGTGACAGCATAAAACTGCCTCTAACCTCACAATTTTTATTCTGTATTCTATACTTTTTATCATTTTGTCATCTTACATGATAATGGGTTGTTTACAAACCTTTCTTTTCCCACTGAACTGTACAGTCCACCAGGGCTCGGGAAATATGATATTCATCTTTGTATCCACAGTAACTGGCACTTGAAAATTATTCAGTAAATACTTGTTGAGCTCAACCAAAATACTGAGTTAGACATTTCTCCAGCCAGTCTGCCCATTGTAACTTAAGTCCCTATGTATCAGCAGAAAGGAGATAATGTGAGTGTATGTGTCTTTTAAGTGTTTGCCATGAGCAAGAATTCTGACCTCTCTCCAAGATATATATATATATAATTTAAATTTTGAATTATGTAGAGGACTCCATAATAAGAATAGTTTGCAGCCACGGAAGTTTATTATAAATTAAATAAAGTTCTATCACAAGAAAAAAGAATGTATGTAGATGGAGAGACAACTACATCATCTGTAATATCCATGAACTAAATAGGTAAACAGGAACTGAAGAGTAATGCTGGTCTGGTATGAGAGCACTTGTAATTGAGAAATCCCAAAGTAGAAGTGTTTCTGGAGCTCATGGCCTGTCTAGGTCTTTAGGATGATTAATAAGAGATAGATTTTCTTGCTTATTCTTAATGTTTTGAAATTTAATGACTTCAGAAGGATGCATTGAGATGGGGCTACATCAAATCCTTTTAACTACAGAAGATAAAATATGCAATTGGCCTTCCCCAAAGCTACATAAGCAGTGTCATGTAAATGTAAAATTGCAGTGTCCTTTTTTCATTCACATTTCTCTGTCTTACCTCTGTTCAATATACCTCTTTATTTTATCCATTAGGGAAATGGCCAGTGAGGGCTCCATGCTATCCCCTCATATGGAGGATGGGAGAAACTCACTCTATAAGATCAGCAGTTTTTGCCCTCCAAATTTGATTTTCTATTTAACCCCTCCCTACTTGCCTCATAAGGCAAAACTCCTGGCCTTGACTAGATAACACAGTTTCATTTCCCTGCATCCTATGGCCACATCGGGGCCAGGTTTTTTTTTTAATTGGGTGGAATATTTTTGGCGTCCACCTTTACCATCCTTTTCTCACCTCATTAAAAGAAGTTTAGCCCCAAATGCTTTTAAGCCCTAGAATTCTGATTCTAATGTACTCTTCAATTGAGTGTGCCCCACTACAGGCTTAATTTCCATACAGAGGAGCCTGCTGATTTAGATTCTTTGAAGCCTAAAAGATAAGTGAAAAGTGACCAGACCCGGGCTTTCTTGCCTATGGCATATTAGGACTGTGGGGAAGAACTTGCTCTGTGATACCAAAGTGCTGAGAATGTGACACTTGATAAAATACTAGGAGTGCTTGACAGTTCTACAGAGGGTCTCCTTTTACCTGAGAGAATTAGTAGTGGCCTCAGTCTGTAGCACCTCCACGATTTTTTTTTTTTTTTTTTTTTTTTTTGGTGCTGGGGATTGAACTCAGGGGCACTCAACCACTGAGCCACATCCCCAGCCCTGTTTGTATTGTATTTAGAGACAGGGTCTCACTGAGTTGTTAAGTGCCTTGCCATTGCTAAGACACAATCCTCCGGTCTCAGTGTCCCCAGCTGCTGGGATTACAGGCATGCGCCCCGCCCGGCCTCCACTCCTAATTTCAGTCTTCTAAAAGGGCTCTGTTTGGGCGTCTGGAATTTCAACATATCTTCTTTGCTGCATCACATTCATTTATTTTGGTGTTTATTAAGTTCAATACCATATTCTGCACACTATGGATATGATACAACACTGTCCTGTGCATTTGCATGGAAGTGAATCAGTTGTTCTGCGACCCATAAATTCCATCACTGGGATACATGTGAGGATGAGCCCATGTGTGCAAATATTTTTTGAATGAGCACCATCAAGATCTCAAGGTTTGCTGAAGAAAATGGGAATGCTATTTTGAGGGGTTGGAAAGGTCACTGACGCCAAGGCAGAACAACGGAATGCAGAAGGGACTTGAGAAAGGTGGTAGTTAAGTGCCAGATGTTCTTGTAATTTACATGTATTAATCGTTTATTTCTCGCGACAACTCTGAATTTGCTGCCTTTGTTGTTTTACAAATGAGGAAGCAGGCAAAGAAATACAAACTAACTTGCCAACTGTTCACACACCGAAAACCTGGGATTTAACCCAAAGCAAAGCAGAGCCCTTATTAAATAAACTAACCAGTAAAATGCTTGGGGTTCCTACTTCCTGGCAGGTGAGACTACATGTGAGGAAACCGAAGACAGCTGGGTGAAAGCCATGAGAATCCCTAGACGACGGTGATGTAGGCAGACATGTGACAGGACTGCAGGGTGAAATGATGCAGTAAGAGCCTCTTGTGGTCCATCTCCGTGTTCTCCTCCGTTCAGCTTCTTAAACAGGGACGCGAGAAGTTGAAGTGGGCTTGTGGGCTGTTCTCCGAGCCGTGACTCAAGGGCAGAGCACGGCACCCGGGGCTCCGTCTGGAAGAACCATAGGCCGGAACTCGCCGCGTTCTTCCAGAGAGGAAATGGCGCGGGATGGTGACGTCGCTCCGGGGGAGGGTCGTGGGATGACTTCCGGCAGCTCGGGAGTTCGGGTGACCAGCTTGGCGGCGAGCACTTTCGTCTGTCCGCCGCAGTGGGGTCAGCCCCAGGCCGCTAACCATAAGCTTCCCCCACCATGACCAAGTCCGCCCGCCGTGAGGAAGGCGGGAGGAGGCCTTCAGAGCTCCGGGCCGGAAGTCGGATCCTGGCTTTCATCTGTACGTACTTAAGCCTGCCCACCCGAGGCAACTTCCGAGCTCTTACATTAAAAAAAAAAAAAAAAATCCCTAAGTAAACACTTAGTTCCCTAAGTAAAAACATGACTTGCTCTGCCAGTTCACAGCGATGTGCGTGTCGAATACTTGGGGTAGCGGAATGGGTACTCTACGAAGACAGATTCAGTAGTAACTGGAGAGCAGTTACCACTTTCTGAATGCTTACAAACCGGCATTATTCTCTTTCCCATGTATTAACTCATTTATTCATCACCAGAATTCTATGAAGTATTGTTATAGTCATCCTCATTTAATAGTTGAAAAAAGTAGATCACATATTGTTCTCTTCAAGGTTAGTTGAAAAGAGGTGATCCGTGTTAGATTAGAAAGTATTATAGTAGAGACATATTAAATTATTTGAGAATGTAGAGAAAGGAGGACCTCCAAAGAGTCAAATTTTCCACGAGAAAGAATTGTAGTTATTTAAGCTGGATATTAGAGTGTGACCAGAAATTTGAAACTAACTTTTTTTTCAGTGTCAGATAAGAGGTGCTAGTGGATTGGGGCGAATTTTATGCTGAAAATCAGGTCCCTGTCTTGTTTATTATTATTTTTTCACTTTTAATGAAGCTAGAAATCCAAGATCAAGGTGATCATAGGTTTGGTTTTTTTTTCTGTGACCTTTTTAAAATTTTTTAAAATTTTTTTATTCTAATTTGTTATATATGGCAGCAGAATGCATTACAACTCATACTATACATAGAGTACAAATTTTCATATCTCTGGTTGTACAAAGTATACTCACACCATTTGTGTCTCCATACATGTACTTAGGGTAATGATGTCCATGTCATTCCACCTTCTTTCCTACCCCCATGAGGTCCTTGTCTTTTAATAGGTGTTCTAGTAGGGCTTTAAAATCCTTTCTCTTAGGAGGAGTTCCAACAGACTCTCCTGGGTGTCAGAAAGAGAGACATTTCTGTTTCCAGAAATTTTTGCATTCTGCAATTATGGGAGAATAATGGAAAAGGAAGTTTCCCTGCTGTTGACTCAGGCCACTTGTATGTGTGTGTGTGTGGCAGGGCGATGGTATTAGGGATTGAACCCCAGGGCACATTACCACTGAACTACCTCCTCATCCTTAGCGCTTTTTATTTTGCTAAGTTGGGCCGCCCCTGACCTGTGCAGGCAGTAGAACTTAAGATCGCTGTGTGTATTTGTAGAGACACCAAATAAAACACAGACACAATTTACCTTTACACAAGCTTCAGGATGGCTTCTCCGCTCTCAGCCTTAGGCTCCCCAAGAGGAAGAGCAAGAGGAAGTCACCAGAGGCTGGTGAGAGAGAGTGACCATGTTTGGAAGTGAGCTTTCATTGGGGGGACTCTTGTTCTTAGAAAGTTGTATCCAAAGAATGCCAGAAGGTGCAGGGTTACAAGGGACAGGTGAGTGTAACTCAGCCCTCTTCGGTAACACCTCCACCTGAAGGCCCGCCTCTCTATCAGAGCTGGGACATTGCCCAAATCATCATGAAATGTAGTGATTGGTCAGAGCCCCCTGCTTCAGGACTGGGGGACATGTGGTCATTCAGAGCGGCTCCCCACAAAGTTGCTGAGATTGGCCTCCAATTTGTGATCCCCTTGTCTTAGGGACTCAAGTTCCTAGGGTTACAGGCATGTGCCACAGCACTCAGCTGATTCCAGCCACTCCTAGAACTTTCTTCATCATTGCTTGCTCGATTAGTGGTTTTCAAATAAAGGAACAAGCAGCTTCAATCAAAGATGGATTGGAAGGGCTTGGTTTTAGTTTTTTTCACTTTTGCCTTCTGTTTTAGAGTCAAAGAATTTTGGTATTATAAGCTACTTTAGCTCTTATCAACTTTTAATTTCACAGAAAAGAAAAAAATCACAAATGAGACTAAATGACTTGCACCAAGTCATTGAACAAATCAAGGGCAGAACTAAGTTAAGACTAAAATCCAGACCTCTTGACAGAGTCTGTTGCATGTCCCACTGCTCTCTACTTTAGCCCTACAGTATGACTTCTGAAGTCAGCTGCTTTTCCATTATGCTTGGTTAGCCTTTGTTTTCTAGACTTTTCTCCTGTAGAGGGATTTTTATTCAAGGATGCTTAAGTCCTTAAGTAGCACCTGCTGCCTTCGTGCATTCTTCCTGCTGCCTTTCAAAAGTTCACTCAATCTGGGTGCATGCCTATATTCCCAGTGGCTCAGGAATCTGAGGCAGAAGAACCAAGAGTTCAAAACCAGTCTCAGCAACAGTGAAGTGCTAAGCAACTCAGTGAGACCCTGTCTCTAAGTAAAATACAAAATAGGGCTGCACATGTGGCTCAGTACCAAAAAAACCCAGAAAATCACTCATTAGCCCAAATTTTATCATTGTGCTACTCTCCTCAGATAGTAATGAAGCAAATTGTAGAGAAAGACTTAGGGAACAACTTTATTTTTGTAAAAAGCACCAATTGCTATTTGTGTGTAGAAAAATATATAGAAAAAGCAATGGAAGAATATACTCCAAACTTTATAATATCAGAGAAAGGGAATGGGTTTGTTAGGGTGGGGTGGGGTAATAGCTATAAAATGACTATTTTATCTGGTACACATGTATTTTTAATTGATACATAATATTGGGATTCATTCTGACATTCATACATGTACTTAATTTGGTCAGTTTCATTCCCTAGTATTACTCCCCTTTTCCTTACCTCCTTTCTCTCCCTGATACCCTTTCTTTGCCCTCCTTTATAATTTTATGGGATCCCCTTTCTCCCCTTTTTATTCCATAGTTTTTACATATGAGAACATAAATATGACCCTTGACTTTCTGAATCTGGCTTATTTCGTTCAACAAGATGCTTTTTGGTTTCATTTTTCTGAAAATGACAATTTTTTTTTCTTCTTGATAGCTGAATAAAACACACACACTCTCTCTCTCTCACACACACACACACACACACACACAATTTCTGTGTTCATTCCTCTGTTATTAGATAACCTGTGCTGATTCTATAACTGCTATAAACTTGGGCATACTTGTATCAGTATAGTATGCTGACTTTAACTCTTCAATAAATACTGGATAATGGTATAGCTGGGTTATATGGTGGTTCCATAGTCTTTTGAGGAATTTCTGCACCGATCTCCATAGTGGTTATACTAATTTAAAGTCCCTCCAACAGTGTGTAAGGTTTTTTTCCCCCTGCATCCTTCCTAGTATTTGTTATTATTTGTATTCTTGATAATTGCCATTCTAATTGGAGTGAGAAGAAATCTCATGTAATATGTTTTTTGTTTGTTTGTTTCTTTCTTTTTTGTGGTACTGGAGAGTGGATTCGGGGCACCTTTTCGCTGAGCTATATCCTCAGCCCATTTTGTAGATTTTTATGTTGAGACAGGGTCTCCCTAAGACGAGGATGCCCTCGAACTTGCAATCTTCCTACCTTAGCCACCTGAGTCTAGGATTATAGACATGTGCTACTATTCCGGGCCTCAGTTGCAGTTTTGATTTGCATTTTCCTCTTATATTTGTTGGCCATTTGTACTACTTCTTTTGAGAAATGTATGCTTAGTTCATTTGCCTGTTTATTTTATTATTTTTCTTTTTGGGGTAAGTTTTAAAAATTATTTATATAATCTGGATATTAACCATCTGTCAGAGGAGAAGCTGGCAAAGATTTTCTTCATGTTTTTTTCTGCATCAAAAAAACCCAGGGGCACATTACTATTGAGCCACATCCCCCCGAAATTTTATTTTTTATTTTGAAATGGTCTCACTAAGTGACTTAGAGCCTTGATAAATTGCTGAGTCTGTCCTTGAACTTTGGAACCTCCTTCCTTGGCCTCCTGAGTCACTGGGATTACAGGTGTGCTACCACACCTGGTTCTCTTTATGCTATTGTTTCCTTTGCTGTACAGAAACATTTTAACATAATGCTGACCCATTTCTAATTTTTGGCATTATTTCCTTAGCTTTAGAAGTCCTAATGAGGAAGGTGTCATTCTCTGAACCTATATGTTGGAGTGTTTCCTTATGTTTTGTTCTAGCAGTTGCAAAGTTTTTAATCTATTTCCTAGGTTTTTAAATCCATTTTGAGTTGACTTTTGTATAGGGTATTAAACAGGGATCTAGTTTCATTCTTGTACATGTGGATATCCAGTTTTCCCAGTACCATTTGATAAAAAGCTGTCTTTTCTCCAGCATGTTTTTAGTGCCTTCGTCAAGGATCATATGAATGTAGCTATGTGTGTTTGTCTTTGTGTCTTCTATTTTTTATTGTCTCAGAGACTATTTTAGGTCAGTGCCATGCTATTTAAGTTATAATAGCTGTGTATTATAATTTGAAATGGGGTATTGTGATTCCTCCAGCATTGATCTTTTTGCTCAGAATTGCTTTGACTATACTGACTCTTTTGTTCTTCCATATGAGTTTTAGAACTGCTTTCTTATAAGATTTTTGAGGAATGTTATAGATAATTTGATGGGAATTGCATTGAATTTGTAGAACACTTTTGCTAATGACCATTTGAACTATATTAATTCTGCCTATCCAGGAACCTGGGTGGACTTTGCATCTTCTAGTGTTTTACAGTTCTTTTTTCAGTGTTCTCTAATTTTTGTTGTTAAAGGTCTCTTACCTTTTTAATTAGATATATTCATATGTTGTTTGTTTGTTCTGAAACTATAGTATAAATGGAATTATTTTCCTGATTTCTTTGTCAGCAGATTCATTGCTGGTGTATAGAAAGGCTATTGATTTTTGTATGTTGCTTTTGTATCCTGCTACTTTGCTAAATATGTCTATCAGTTCTAGAGGTCCTTTGGTAGAAGTTTTGGGATCTTGATAAGTATAGGATTATATCATCTTAAACTAGTGATAATTTGATTTCTTCCTAAATATTAAAAATGAGGATATATTCATGCATAACATGTGATTAGAAAACTAAGATAAGAAGGAGCCTCAGAAAACAAGAATATGCCAGTGTCTCCAGTGCATCCAGGGAAGCAGTTGCTGTGATGTGTATCCCCCGAGTATCCACTCTCTTGTTCTCTGTGACCTTATTCCAACATCATGGTTTTGACATTTGATGCCATTACACTCATCTGAGTACTCCTTTTTTCCTCCAATTCGGTGCTTCTCTGGGAGCATTCTAATGACAATGATTTGGTTCCCATATGATTTTTTTTCTAGAGTGAAGTGACTGTGTTAACCAGTAGGACATTGAGCATATAAAGTTTTCATTTTAAATTAACAAAGGGACTTTGTTTTCTACATATTTCCTCTTGTAAATGTAATTAGTGTGACAAATTCTAGAGCATTTCTTTGCTACAACGGTGAGAGCCAGACCCTGTGCCCAGTTGCTATATTCAGGTTACTGTCTTGATTTCTTCCTAATGACCTTTGTCTCACTTTCTCGAATGAAAACAATGTTATATTCTTTCAGTAAGCAGGACTCTAATTTTCAAACCTATAGATTTCTCAATTGGAGATAGAGGAAAAACTTCCTGAACACTTTGCACTGAAAGGGGTTCAACGACATACCTGACAAGGCAAGCGAATAAGAAAAAATTTGTAAGATGGATCTAGTGAAAGTTACAGCATGGATGGCCTTTGAAATCTTGGAAAGGAAACTTTAGTTATTACTATTCTGCCAAAATATTCTTTATAGGAAATATAGTAACTGTTCACCTATTTTTGAGAAGTAGGTGGACAACAAATTTCCTCCACATTTAATTTCCCCAAGTCCAAGATACTTATTTATTTCACATTTTGTACTATTTATCATTATAGATGAAACCTAGATGATCCCAGATTACCTGGATTAGTTGCTAGCATTTGATTGCTTCAGAATTTATGTTCCATCAGTTATGCTCTATCAATTATGATAGAAAATTTAATTGAATTCCTAATATTTGTCACTACTTCTTTTCTTTCTTCAGAGAAGCTGGTTATCAGGAACTGACTTTGGAAAAGTTGAAAATACATGCTACAGAAAAGGCGGAAATCCTACAGGAACTACAGAGGGGACAACATGTGCACAAGTTTGTGTGCACACACACAATCACACCACTTTCACTGGGAACAATATTCCTCTAGTGACAACCATCTTTAAGAAGATACCTCCTAAGTATGAATTTAAGAGGTTTCATCTAACTCTAAACCTATTTAGACAGAAGCTCTTTCAATGTGTTACAGACTGCACAAGTTCTAGTCAGATTTCACACCAAATGAAACAATGAAGGGTTAACATGCAGAAGAAATCTTCAAAATGTAGTGAGTGTGGAAAATTCTTTACTCAGAAATCATCTCTTTACCAGCATCATAGGATTCACACAGGAGAAAAGCCCTATGTGTGTAGTGAATGTGGAATATGTTTCCTTAAACAGTCAAATCTCACTCAACATTTGAGAATTCATACGGGAGAGAAACCTTATAAATGTAATGAATGTGAGAAAGCTTTTCAAATAAAAGCAGTCCTTGTCCAGCATCTGAGAATTCATACTGGAGAGAGACCCTATAAATGCAATGAATGTGGGAAAACCTTTTGTCAGAGCCCATCCCTTATTAAACACCAACGAATTCATACTGGAGAGAAACCATATAAATGCATGAAATGTGGCAAAGCCTTCAGTCAGAGCATATGCCTCACTCGTCATCAGAGAAGCCATTCTGGAGATAAGCCTTACAAGTGTAATGAATGTGGGAAAGCTTTCAATCAGAGCACATGCCTCATGCAGCATCAGAGGGTTCATTCAGGGGAGAAGCCCTAGACATGTACCATGTGTGGAAAAGCCTTCACTCAGAACTCCTTCCTTGCCATATATGAAAGAACTCACACTGGAGAGAAACTTTATAAGTGTAGTGAGTGTGAAGAAACTTTTCGCGGGGCTGGGGATGTGGCTCAAGTGCTTGCCTAGCATGCTTGCGGCCCGGGTTCGATCCTCAGCAGCACCACATACCAACAAAGATGTTGTGTCCGCCGAGAACTAAGAAAAAATAAATAAATGTTAAAAAAAATTAAAAAAAAAAAAGAAAAAACTTTTCGCAAACAAGCACACCTCAGTGAGCATTACAGAATTAATACTGGAGAAAACCTTGTGAATGCACTGAATGTAGGAAACCCTTTAGGCACAGTTCAGCACTTGTTCGACATCAGAGTCTTCACGCTGGAGATTAAAACTTGGAATGAAATTAATGTGAAAAGATTTATATGAAATGCCTTTTTTCTTTATGAATTCCTGGGAATTTAAGACTTAGTAATTGTCATAAATATTTTATATTTTGAACTAGAGGTGTTGTGTCCTAAAAATTAAGAAAATAGACCTCAGAACAAGTCTTGAATTTGATGCCAATCTCTGCCACTTAATGGATTGTGATCTGATCCTCTCCAAGCCTTAGCTTCCCCATTCTTACCCCGAAAAGAAAAATGCGGATAATTCATAGGGTTGTCTTAAGAATAAAATAAATTGCAGATGAGAATTAATGTCTGTTAGTTGTTTTATAGATGTTCTAAAAGTCTATAAAAATATCTAAATATGTCTATTAAGAACTAGCAAATCAGCATTAGTTTTTTTGGCTCTCATGAGGTATTTTAATTTTTTTTCTTTTTGAAGTAGTGAGAATTGAACCCAGGGGCACTGTACCCACTGAGCTACATCTATAACCCTTTTAATTTTATTTATGAGATAGGGTCATGCTAAATTCCTGAGGTTGGCCGTGAACCTAGTGATCATCTTGCCTCTGCCTCTGAGTCACTGTAATTACAAGCATGTACCATAGCACCTGGCTTGTGTATTAAGATCATTTTTGTAATGGTCTGTGATTTCCTTTTATTTTACAGAAGTCTATTTAAACCATAATGTCTAGATATAAGTATGCATTTACAATTTAAGACCAGTTTGTCCTTGAGAAATTTCAGATTTTGGGGGGTGGGGGACCAGGATTGAATTTAGGGTTACTTAATCACTGTACCACATTCCCTGCCCTTTTTATTTTTTATTTTGAGACACAATCTCATTAAGTTGCTTAGGGCATTGCTAAATTGTTGAGGCTTGCCTCAAATTTGGTATCCTCTTGCCTCAGCCTCCCCAGTTGCCAGGATTACAGTGTGGTGGCTGAAACTTCAAATTTAATTAGTGATAAAAGAAATAATTAGGATTTTAGTGGACTTTGTAAAGATATCTCCTTATAAGATTTAATTTAATTAAAAAATAAAAAGGGCTGGGCTGGGGATGTGGCTCAAGTGGTAGCGCGCTCGCCTGGCATGTGTGCGGCCCGGGTTCGATCCCCAGCACCACATACCAACAAAGATGTTGTGTCCGCCGAGAACTAAAAAACTAAAAAATAAATATATGGGGCTGGGGATGTGG